TCATAACTTCATCCTATTAATTTCAAGGGGAGCTAAATGCAAGTAATTCAATGGCTGGGGTGGGTCTTCCGGGCTGTGTGGCCGTGTTCTGGAAGTTTTGTTTCCTAACGTTTCACCAGCATCTGTGACCGGCATCTTCAGAGGGCAGGAGTACAGACAGGAGCAGTTCTCTCTGTGCCCAGGATGATGTGACCCTGTTGTGAGAACTGCTCCTGTCTGTACTCCTGCCCTCTGAAGATGCCGGTCACAGATGCTGGTGAAACGTTAGGAAACAAAACTTCCAGAACACGGCCATACAGCCCGGAAGACCCTCACCAGCCATCGTATGCCGGCCGTGAAAGCCTTTGACGATACAACTAGGAAGAGAGTTGGCTGAGTAGCTTTGCTAGTGTTCAAGAAACAGGATGGGATAAATTAACCTTTGTACACCATGCAGAGTCACTGCTGTGAGATGGGTGGCTCTATAAATTGTTTAAAATAAATAAATTTCTGAGACTAGAGCAGAAAGTCTGCAATCTCAAGCTGTCTGTTAAACCTGGAAGAGTTGCTTCTCCTAAGGACCTCCCATTGTTCTGAACTAATTCAATTGTTTCATATGAATCAATCTTATCCTGTTTCATATTCTTGATTAGAATGACTCATTGGTCCATTCCAGATCAGAATCAAGGGGAGGCTACTTTTTTTTTTTTGTGGCAGTGGGCACTTCTGGAATTCTGAAAGTATCTTGTGGATCCTGTCACAAAATGTTTGTCATAGAGGTGACTTGCCAATTCTCAAAATGACTGGCATGGCAAGTTTGGACAATCACAAAACATTCATTTATCAGAAGGTGAATGGATGAAGGTCTTCCCAATCACCCCTTAGCTTACCTTTATCTTTTTATCAACTTTACACCCCAGTTTTCAACTTAGGTAAACACGCTGCACCGTCCTTTAAATAAAGAATTGGGCTGCAGTCATCTTACATGTTTATTTTTTTAACAATGCCTATGAAACCCAGAGACATTTTTTTAATGATAATGTTAATGCTAGAGGCTGGCACTTTGCTTTCAAATGCCAGCTACCCATTTAATTTTTGTTTTACATAAGATAGGAGTTTGGTGGGTACTAAGATTTGTAACGCACTGCTTTCTCCTGCCATGTTGTTTACCAACAAAGAATTCTCCAACACCTTCGGTACAGGTTTCTTTCTCAACATGCACAAAACAAGACCCATTTGTAAGTGCAGATAAGTCGCCTCCTGTCTCCTACTCCAGTCCATCTCAACAAAGAACTCACCTTCACCCAGACTCTTAAGAGTCCTCAATGGCCCATGATCTCACAATAATCTTAAAAATGCTCACCATCTTGGAAATTAATTCCAGCTCAAGTTTCTCCAGCTCCTATAGATCAAACCAGACTTCTTAGCAACCACTGGAAGATTGATGTTATGAAGTATTTCCCTCCCACGTGGACCATTGATTGAACTTCCCCTTTATAATGAGGATGTAACCATTGTTAGATACAAGTGAAAGCTAGAGACTAAGGCAGCTGTGATACACACGAGGCCTGGGGGCAGTGAATAATGTTCAGCGGAAAATTACACACGCACATTTTGTATTACTGTCTTCTTTGGTTAAAAGTGCATTTTGCATGTTTTCTGGTGTGGGGAAACACCCTGTTTGCACGTGGGATGGCAAAGCACAGAGATTTCATACCAACTTGCTGAGGGGGAAGAGGGGAACCTCCCTCATTTACTGATGAGTTTTCCACCTAGCAGTGTAAGAGTTGGTCTGCTGATCTAATCCTGCAGCTCACTTTCAGATAGATCCCAAACCACTACTGGAGATATAGAAGGAAAAGAAGGCAGTAATCTAGGGATTTTGAAAGCAGTAGTATCCAATGAGAGATCAAGGAGACCGCTAGATAGAGATGGAGAGACTAAGCTGAGGAAAAAGGCTACAATGGTCACCCAGTGGAACCTGCAACTAAATATTACAGCATGCAGTAGTCTTATTCAAGATTGCATCCACCAATCCTTTTTTTCCCCCCTGGGATTCCTTAGTCCCCTTGTTTTATCTCATTCAACATGCAGCGTTCTGCCTTTAGATATCATGCTAAGTTCTCATAGGGTGTTTTTCCCTTTTTGTGTGTGTGTGTGGGAGGGGGGGACTTGGAGTTTCTCCTAGCATGGTTTTTTTCCCCCCCTCTTCCCTATGGATGATGCTGTTTTGGCTACCTAAAAACATTTACTCCATGCTCACTTGCGTCAGGTGAGTGGATGGTGGAGGACAGAGCAGTCGCCTCTATGGAATTTTCTTTTGGACTGCCTTCACTTGCTCCCCAGCATTTTCTTCCATTTAGCAATGTAAATACTCAGAAAGATGTCTAGAATTTTAAAAAGAAAATATGTTCCTATAGATACAGGTAGGTGTGTGTTTCTTACCTTTCCCAACCTGAAGCCTCCAGCTCAGGGCTCCAACTTTGTATAAACTTCATATGAGAATGATTTATTATAGCAAATTTGTGATATTATATAAAATAACCATTTATTTTGGTTTGAAAGACATCCACAACATTATTCAGAAACAAAATGGTACAGATAAATTGCCTATCTGCCAAGCAAAATAAATACCATTTTTTTAAAAAAAGGTCCAAGACGAAAGGAAAAAAGCATCCAGTTGAAGGACTGCAGGAATCAAGATGGATCTTATAATTATACATAGTATTTCAAAAGAGGACGTAGAAATGAAGTAGAAGATGAACAAACAAAACAAAAATGGAAGTCACTGAAACAGTTTTGAGTTACATAAAGCTGAATTTCAGTAATACTCTCATACGGCTCAGCTTGCTTCAGCGTGGCATGCAGATCGAATAAATGACAGCTGTGAAAAAAATGTTTTTAACAGCGGAAAACAGTTTCAGCAGCATAACAGCAGCAGATGCTTAGGCACCATTGATCAGGGGACACAGCAAAAAGCGAACAGGTAGTTCATGGACTTCAACAATGACAAGATCAGGAATTCATTTGCCAGGGAGGGAGGGAAGCATCCAATTACAAAAATGAAAAATCAGTAGCAACTTGCACTCCCACTTCTTTCAGAAGTAAGTATCTGTAAACATTCAGGGCAAACATTTCCTTTAATTCATGTAAAGATGACTTGAGGACATAGATGCATTAGGTTTTTAAAGTGTATATATTTAAGACACTCATTGTATAGCTTAAACTGAAGGGTGCATCTAAGGAATAAGGGTATCATGTAAGGACATTTATCATTTGTGATTGGTTTCAAAGCCTTCCTGGGTACACAAGTTGTAGCACACCTTGGGTTACTTTCATGCAAATGTGGGAAAACTCCTGCCCAACCAATTTTTCTCAGGCTGAAATTGAAACAAGTTATTCCCTCTGCTAATGTACATAGTTGGTCATTCTTGAAAACTTGCCTCTGAAATCTGTCCTAATTTGAATTGAACCCAACCATAGAGGTAGTCCTCGCTTAACAACTGCCCTGTTTAGTGACCATTTGAAGTTATGACAGCACTGAAAAAGTAACTTTACGAACAGGCCTTGCACTTATGCCACTGCAACATCCCGCAGTCACATGATCACCATTTGTGTGCTTCACAGCCGGCTTCCAACAAACAGAGTCAATGGAGAAGCTGGCATAAAATTGCAAGTCATGGTCATGTGATGTCTTGCTTAATGACTGTGGTGGAAATGAGGTTGTAAGTCTGTCACGGTCACATGTCTCACTTAATGACTGCATCACTTAGTGATGGAGTTGCCGGTTCCAATTGTGGCTGTTAAGCGAGGACTACCTGTACTGGCAAACATGGAGAATCATACATACACACGCACCAGTTTGAAATCTATGCAAAGACTCTGAGCTAGCAAAAATTGGCCCTATTAGCTGCCTTCATTTGGTGTTTTTATGTATGTACGTATGTATGTATTTAGCACATTTATGTTACTGCAAACTCCTGGCCCATATGGCTGTAGGCAGTATTATCACCAGCAGCATGAGAATGACAGCATTCTCTCCAAACAGAAAAACATTCTCTCAATGATTCACATTCATTCAATCTTTATCAGACATTTTAACCTAAGGGGGGAAAAAAATCTCCAAACTTTAAGGTTTGAAGAAATCAGACATTTGTCACTGAATTTCACAAGGATCTGGGCTTTTTAATCCTTTTAACTGGCTAGCCAAATATAAAGGTTTTAATTAAATAAAAAATGTGCATCAGCATACATACATTCATATATGAACATAAAGAAAAGAGTGAACCACTGCAAAATCCCCCCAAAATCCTTGAAGAAAAGAAAACCCTACTAATTAGAAAGTAAAATAAATGGTACCTAGATTGTACCCACATACTGGGATTAAAAGTTTAACAGGTTGTATGCATATTGCGTTAGAGGGATCCAATATGAGAAGTTCAGAGCCACATGGCTTCTTCTTTGGCTTAATTATATCAGAAAGAATATGCAGCCAACTTGTAATATATTAAGCCTAGTTTCAACATTTAATTTTATGTGTAGGGTAAGACCAAGATCTTATTTTGCTACCCAGCGAGCAAACCTGACTCACATGCCGATGTCTTCTGGATGTTCATACAGATATAGCGCTAGACTAGGACAAATGCCTCACACTTAGGCTTGAATATTTATGAAACATATGCCGAAATGTGAACTTCCTAAACAGCCCTGTTGCTTCCACATGTGTTAAGCCTGCATCTTCCAGAATTCCCCTGCCAGCATGTTGCCTGGGAATTCTGAGAACTGCATGTCCAATGCATCTGCAATTCATTCTTCTGGGGAAGGTTAACTTAGAAGATGGCACAAATACAAAACTGCTTTTCTAGTGTATTCTAAGCTTATTCAGACTCAGACTCTTTCTCTCTGCAACAGTATATTTCAAAGAGAATCTAATGCAGACTTGGTGCTGGCAAACCCAGATTAATGTGGCATTAATAATTAGGGTGAAGAATTTGTATGCATCTACAAGGTTGGGATTTTCTACTTAGAGAAGGCTGGAAAAGTTGTGGTGAGCAGCAAGAATCGACATGTGACATCTCTTCAATGTGACATGTGGCATCTGTTCAATGCATCAGAGACAAGCTTAAAAGCAACCATCAGGTAGAATTAAATGGAAGCTGTATAAATGAGTCTGTAACTGGATCAGTTTCTAATGGGAAGAGTATTGGCAACTTTTATTTGGTGCCTCAACATCAATAGCAGCATTTACATTATTTAAACCCGTGCACAATCAAGTATCTGAGACAGACAAAATCCAACTGGATAGCACAGATTTCCTGTGAGCAACTAAAAAAAAAAGTTGATTTTTTCATTCATTTTCCAAAGCAATTTTACTTCTACTAGAATTTAACAGTTTAACATATTAGGTATGTTCTCTGTAGGGTATATCCACTCTATCCATCATTCCCAAACCTGAAGAAATGATGGTCAGTTGATACTGTCTACTCTGGTTGACAGTAGCTCTCCATTTTTCAGTGATAAAATTATGCACCACGTTCATTTCTCACCTGAATTTAATCTGGTGCTCTTCAACAATTACTTAGAAACAAAGTGAATGTTATCATATAAAAGATTTCCCTGTGCCAACTGATATCAACAAGCACTTCAAAAAGTTAACAATGTTGTTCCTTGCCCCACCCTACTTAAACCATTGCTAATCTGACAAATGGACAATTACAATTTCTTGTAATTGGAAAGATGGATGTTTAAAAACGTTTGCGAAGTTATCCTTGATATTGGTATTACTTAAGGTTATAATGGCCAGACATAAGATAATCATAATACTGCACTGAAGAGCTACTCACTTGAAGCATCATCAGCCAGACAAGCTTTAGCATCTAGATTCAAGAAAGGATGGCACCAATATTAAAATTGTTTTGTGGGTGGAAAGTGGAGGAAGTAAGTATTAATTCATGCTTCTTGTTTTGCTTGGATATCTTAATTCTTAGTTGCTCAAATTCCCATGACAGGAATACCTAAAGCAACACATAACACTGAATATTGGAGCAAATTAGTTTACTTACATTCTCCTAGAGGCCACGTTGAGCTAAAAGTGTGGCGTATAATTTCCAAGATATATCCCAAGATCTACATTCACTTGAGCAATTTAAGGCAATAGCTACAATCTCGCCATTATTTGTGGCAACTTTTTTATATTCCCCATCCTATAATTTGGAGAGGAAAAGTACATGGGATTCTTCAGGGCCACCTCCAGAGGACAGAGAAATCAGCTATTTGCTAGAGGCAAAAGTTCAGCATAACGCCTACTGACTCAATATGTTACTTCTCCCATTTCGCATGGGATACCCATGAACATTGAAGACAGCACGGGAGTCACTCATCTCACATCTCATTTTGAGCAGCTTAAGGGGGTTTGTTGAACATGCCTTGTGGAAGGTCCCCTCCCCAAATCCTGAAACTAGAAGGAGATAGCCTATGCTTTTTACTGCTCAAAACAGCTTTCTTAGAGGTGCAAAAAAAGGCCTATACCGTTATGCTCTTTAAGTAGGGTATGGATATCAGTGAGATTCAGTCCAGATATACACATGCTAAGCCATGGTTAGCTTGGATCCATACTACATAACAAGCCAGGATGAGCAACTTTTTCTGCCTAGCAGCCACACTATATTTTTCTGCTCTGCCTGAGCCCCCAAAGGGAGGTGATGCCTGCCATCACTGGAATAGCATGGGTCATGATTTGGGGCTACATTTTGCTACAGTGCAGTTTACAGGCAAAATTGGTACCTGTACCTTAAGCTTTGCAGAGCCTTACCCCCCTCCCCCCAATGTACACATACACACCCAGGGAATTTTGGCTTGCTTGGGGGAGAGTTTTAAAAGGATGCATTGAAACTGCCCCCTCTCCAAACTCTACTAAGCCATAAACTGCAGTAAGCTGTGCATGGTCCAGAGTGGCTCAGTCCACATAAACTAAATGAGAACCACACAACTAGGTTAAGCATGGTGTAAGAATCCACTCTTGGGCTTAAGTTTACTCATCATGCTAAACCCAAATCAAACAGGCCATATGATGGCTTCACAAGTTGTGATCATGTTACTATCATGGTTTATGGCTGAGTGTTGGGTCAGTCCAAGTATTCTGGCTTATTCAGCGGGCCATGGTTAAAAAGACAATGTGTAGACCTTACCACCAACTTTCTGGGGAGGGCATGATGCCTACTTGCCCAGTTATGGAACATTTATTCTTTTACCCCTCTTCAGATAGCATTTAAAAAATATATAATATGTTCAGAGCACATAAACACTTTGTTACATGGAAACTAACATGAAACACTAAGAATTTGGCAAGCTGGCTATACAAAATCCTGATTTGGTCATTGAATCATCTCCTGTAGAACTATATATTTGGAATTTTTCAAATGAATCACCATACAGAAAAAATGCAGCCATATTCCCAGCTCTCTCTTGTCTCCACTCTTTTAACCAGTGGAGCAGTGAAAGCTGTATGATTGGAAGCGAAATTATTCAATATCATCTTTATTTCCTCCTTGAAGACAGTTTTCAGGCAACTGCTCTTGGATTTCTAAAAGTAACCTATGCTGCCTCAACTCTACCTGACAGTATGAAAAATAAACCCTGACCAAACAATTTGAATACTCCGTATTTAAAATTAATTATACAGCACCAGCTATCTGCTGTCTCAAAAAGTATATTTTCAAAATGGAGACTATATACAACTAAACAGATAGCTATGAACAGGCTATATCTGAGGACATTTCAGAGCTTCAGCAATACAGAATGAAGCATATGCAAGGTCTGCTTTGTTATGGCACAGTGGAAGGATGGCACACTGAATTGCTTTCTATTAAAAATCTGCCTCTTGTTGAAGATGTGCTGTTCCACAGCATTAAGCCTTTCTCCCCCCGCAGGCCTATATACAGACTTCAACTCACCCCCACATAGCAGAGATTGTACCTTTCCCCCCATTTTGTGCAATGTGCTAACAATCTAAACAACTGTTCCACGTGGACTTGCCCACAATCACTCATACACAACTCATATGCAATATTAACGCCACAGTAAATGACATACTACAGGATAAGCAATAGAAAATATTCTGTTAGATCACATATTTCTCCCCATCTGGAACAAACGTTGTATCCTGCAGGCTAGTAGACCCAAAGTTCAATTTCTGTGCATAATTCATTTTCTTGACAGGTGACAAAGACTCTAACACAGGTCCAGAAGTGCTGTTGGCAGTCCTGACTTTAACTGCTTCAGGCTGTAGCACAGAACAGGTTTTGTTATTGGTGAGCAAATCCAAATTCCCGCTTGGGTCAATGATGGCGTTTATAACTGCCAAAAAGGAAGAAGGAAGCGTGATCAGCCTCGGCTCAGGCAATGACTAAAGGCTGGTGTGCTTAGCGTATCTTATTAAACTCCAACATACTTTTTCACTTGATATTTGACACCTGAGCAACCACCAAGCACATGAACAGTGAATGGCGTCTGTTTCAGAAGCATGATCTCCAGGCTGACAATTAACGTTATGAAAGTTCATTCTGCGATGGCTGTTTTGTGAGGGCTACTTGATTTGATTTGATTTATATAGCCGCCCATCTCGCATACGTGACTCTATGCGGCTTACAATAAAATAAATAAAATACATAAAATACACAATATTAAAATAAAAATAAAACACATAGCTGTTGGGCGTCACCCAACCAATTATCCACACAGCCAGGAGACAGGCTTTATCACACGCCCTGGGCCCGGAGTTCGGGCACAAAACCAAGTTTTGAAGGCCTTACAGAAGGCCAACAGGGATGGAGTCAATCTAATTTCAGGGGGGGTGATGTTCCAAAGGGCAGCACGCACCATGGCAGAAAAGGCTGTTCTTTTGGACCCTGCCAGCTGACACTCCTTAGCTGATGGTACCCGGAGCATGCCCCTCCTGCTGGATTGGGTAGGACAGGTAGAGACAATTGGAGAGAGACAGTCCCATAAATAACCCAGTTTCAAGCCATGAAGGGCTTTAAAGGTGAATCGAATTGAAGCATCTTGAGTTGTACCTGGAAGCACGCTGGCAGCCAATGCAACTCATGGAGCACTGGTGTCACAAGCACCAAGAAACTGGTGCCAGTAACTGTCTGTGCCGCCGTATTCTGCACCAGTCGAAGCTTCCAAATACTCCTCAAGGGCAGATATATATTTATGCTCACTTGAAGTTGCTCTGCAGACATTTAGTTGCTTCTGAAGTCCAAAGTAAGCTTTGTTTTGCACTCTAGCACATGCTATGTTGCAACATCTCCTCCTCCTGTTTTTTTTTTAATATAATCATATGTATTAAATGCTAATCAATTGTATCATAAAAAGAACTGGGAAGGCAAAACATTACAAACCTTCAAGCTGTTTTTGGACTCTGCGAAGCTCCTTCAAAATAGAGCTGATTTCCTAGATCAAAAAAAACAGCAACATTACTGATTTAGACACTCATGAAATTCAGCAAAATAAGCCTGTAGTGTACATTTTAAAATTTTCAATTAAAGCACTTTATACCTAGTTTCATACTTCTTCAATCGCTTGTTTTAAACATATACCAAAGTGTTTTCTTTAATTTTTTTTTAAAAGATTTGCAAATGGATTTCAATTTTAAAACTCTTTTTAAAGAGTTTTTATTATACAGTATTAAAATTCAGATGCTGTCCCCCACAGGAATGTAAACCTTGCCAGTAAAATATATGCTAACCTACATGCTTCCTCAAAAGTAAAAATATATAAAAGAAGTTAAGATTCAAATCCAAATCCTTAACAAAGTCCACATTTTGACATTTGAGCTTCAGATTCATTCCAAGACTTAAACATCTGTGTATATAAATCCAACAATTTCAGCAATGTATATTTTTAATAGCAAGCCTCCAAAGCACATGATCTAAGACAATTATTTCCCACCTTGTTTGACGTCTTTAAAATTGGCACTTCATTTTCAGAATTAATTTTGGCCTCCATCTCTTCCCATGTCCTCTCAGTATTCTGGAACAGAATTCTGATACAAATAAATCAATGCTGTTACTTCACCAAAGTGTAAAAAAAAAAAAAAAAAAGCTTCAGGAACAGAGGCTTTTATTTATTGCAACTATAAAATAATTTATACTTGCAAGATTCTGTAATTTATTATTATTATGATGTAATTTTATTATGTAATTTATTGTAAGATAGCCTTACAATAAAGTAGAATTCACTCATCTTGTCTTGTCTCCTGCCTGGTTTACCTGGGAGGGCTGACATCAATCTTGCAAGTCTGAAAGCACAAATCTCCCACCCTCCCTATTTACTGCCTGCATAGTTGGGGCAGGTCTTGCCTACGTTTCTTTCTTTGACTTTTACCCAGTTGTGGACTCCTTTCTCTTTTATGTGATCGTTCCCTCGGCGGCACCTCTTTCTCCTGCCTTCCAAGGCCACCCTCACATTCCATTACACAAACTGAGTAAAAGCCAGTTTCTATTAATCAGTGTCACATTTCTAACTCTGGTATGAAATACTACTCTCCAGCAGTACAGGATCCACAGGTGGCTACACAACAGGGCTGTATAGATCGGCGCCATATACTCACTTCATTTTCTCTGCCAGATTTTCTGTATTTTCCCGAATGGTATGGGATAACTGGGACACAGGGTTTAGCATCAAATTGTCAAAGATCACCTGAAATACAATAAAAAACAAAGGCAGCATTTCTTAACATGAATGTTTTTGATAACTTTTATCCAGTCATTCATTGAACTGATGATCTCATTCAGAAGTAACTTCATATGTCCACATCTTAGATACAGAGGAATTTAATTTCCCATATTTCCATGAAATGGAAATGCACTTACCTCTTCCCTGTTTCTTATCCGTGTTCTTTTTGTGAGATCCTCTTCTCGGCTGTCATTCATATTTTGGTCAAAATCACGGAATCCCAATGAACCAGGAGGCACCTTCTGGAAGTTTAGACTTGCTTCTGGTATATGCTGTACCAGCTTAAGAATTAAAAACAAATGAAGAATTGAATATCCACTTCAAAATATAAGAGAAAAGTAACAAGCAACGCATTATCTTCTAATACCAGCTTTCTTCATCTAGGTTGGAGCTAAATATTATGTGCAGAGAAGCTATTGAAAATGATACATCATGTTGAGTTCTTCTCCGTCATTTCTATAAAGCATTGGACAATTTACTCAGTGACTCAATATTATCTGGTTTGTTTTCCTGCTGCAGCTCAATATCATTGCCTGCAAATGGCAGGAAAATTCACAATAGGATGACATCATATCTTGAGTGAATATCGTAGGATCCAAAATAGTGTCCTTTGCACGAGCTTTTCAATATAATATATATTTCTAGTCCTACTCCATCATTCCAAAATATTAGAACCTCTTTCTAACACACCAACTGGCATCAGCTGTAATATTAAACTATTTTAATTTTATTAAAAACTATACAACTGTCGAAGGCAATCTGCATTCAGTGGACTTAGTCATTTAATCAACTAAAACTTTCCTGCACAGAGGGTTTTTTTTTTTTCTGTGTAGGAAACATGAACATGAAATACACTTAAGATTTCCATGTGCATAATCCTAGTAAGACATGATTTTTACTCATGGAGCCTTTAAGGAATGCATATTTGCAAGTTTACTAAAGCCCCTACAATGAGGTTATTCCTGGTGGCTCTTCCTCCAACTTCAGTATCTTCAGTGGTGCCATGCCTGATAGCTCCATGTTCAGTGGGAAGACTGACTGGAAACTTATGAGAGGTAAACAAGGAATACAAAACGTACAGGATTCCCAGCTGCATAAACAAACCGACATGCAGGCAATTGCAACTGTGTATGATAGGTCACTCAGTCAGGGCTTCTCTGAATGCAAAAACATCAGAAGGACAAAGGTAGCAACATGCCCTCCCTTCTGCGCATTCAACAAAGTAAGTGTGTGACATCTAAACTTGTACATACCATGTAGATGTTTTATCAAATATATGGGGGTCATGGGAGGTAATAAGTTCTAGGGGGAGGGGGAAAGAAATGATCATTACCAACTGAAAAATTCTCTAGGCATCAATTTTTTAATTCAACCCTTATTTAAATATAACTAGATGAGGAAAAATACAGGGCTTCAGCTCTAAATCTTGGTGAAAGAAAATTTAAAATCCAAAGAAGGAAAAGAAAAAGAAAGCTCAAAATAATGAAATAAAGGAAAAAATAAAGGAAAAAAACCTAATACTTAGAAAACACTAAAAGATTTTAAAGCAGAAGTGGGATGGAAAATGCACCTGATATGGAATTGCTGCCTGCAAAGCTGAATGAGCAATCTGTATTGAAAAAAAGGAAGGGGGGGGGGGGGGGGATACAGAGCAGTCAGTGCTAACCATAAGATTAGAAGAATTAAATGCAAAATATAGAATAGTGCAGTCAAAAAGGCCAAAGCAAATCAAAGAAGTAACAATACCCACCCATCTAGTGCTACCAGAGGACCACAAGATGACAACAAATAATTTTCTATAACTCTCTGCTATCATCTAGTGATCATCTCAATTTTTGCAGCCTAGATCTGATAGTCCTAAACATATTATACAAATACATACAGCTGGCACCTGGTTTGTTTCACATCCTATGAAAAAGTGCAGCCCGAGCTTTTAACATCCTTGTTTCCATTCCCCAGGATGGAAGCCAGGATCTGGCAATCAATTCTATTTAAATGGCTAAAGATTAACTGGGCTTCAACTGGGCTGATTTCTCTAATTACAAGGGATAGTTTTAGATCTTGTTGGTGGACACACATAATTTAAATACATCCAACTGGTCTAATTTGGGGTTTGGATAAGGCCAATGAAATAATTAGACAATGGACTGAAGATAGCTAAAAACAAGTTGAGACACATGCACAAAGATTTCCGAACCACTGAGGGAAATTCAGAGGCAAACTCCTGCAAAATATTTGTGCTCTCTTACTTACTCCAATTATAGATGGACATTTTCCACGGCTTGCTTTAATGCTGTCCCTTCAGCCATCCTGGAAAGCAGATTCCAAAAAAACTCCAGTATTGAGGAAGCAATGTTCATATGGATCAGATATGACTGAATCCATGAGGCATGTTTTTTTTGGCTGTGCCTTTTACCAAGTTTAACACAATGGCTACTCCGATCATCACTAAAAAAAAAAAAACAACCCTCTTCCCAGTTGTAGTGAGGAATTTTATGTAAGCTATGAGGCATGTTTTTTTTGGCTGTGCCTTTTACCAAGTTTAACACAATGGCTACTCCGATCATCACTAAAAAAAAAAAAACAACCCTCTTCCCAGTTGTAGTGAGGAATTTTATGTAAGCTACCTTTTTTTTCCTTCCTAGCTGACAGAAATCCTAAAATCATCTATTTCATAGCAAAATTCTGCTACTTAGCAACATGGATATGCTGCAAGAAATTTACCACTTCAGGACAGAATGACCATCTATAGAGATAACTTTGCTTGCATCTGAAAATAATTGAATGCTTTATTATATATCAGGTTGGATGACTGGTCAATGAAGTTTTGATTGTGATCATACAAAGCTGGTTTATACAAAGTTGAGTCTTCAGGACTGTCTCCTCCGACTGGCTGCAGTTCCTAGAAGTGATACTGATGCTTTTGTGATTTATTTATTCCTGTCTCCACTTACTGTGTTGTTTCCATCATGCGGGGATACTGAGCAGTGAAGCACTTTTTCCTTCACTCTATTCCTTGCACCCACCTATTCACAACCTTAAGCAGCCCCCATACCTCTTCTCTTGCCGAGATGGTTGAAGCAGGGGTATTAGGCACAGAACTGTGGGAGGTACTTGGGCCTGTTCCAGATGAGCTCTGGGAATCTCCATCTCCAGCAACGTCATGAATCTCTCGAGCGAGGATTGCTACATCCTTTACCAAGGTCTGGCTTAATCTAGAAGAATGGTATGAACAATTTAAGCAGGACTAATAGATTTTAATACATGTTCATGTATTACTCATAACTAGAAGGACCTTCCTGTCTCCTTCTACACACAAAATAAATCAGATTTTATTAAACGTCTTTTTTGCATCAATCCTTTTCTCAATTAATGCTCAAGGTAAGCAACCTGATCCTTCTGGATGTTTTGAACTCAGACAACAGGGCTAAGTGCAAGGGACTACAGGAGTTGTAATTCAAAATATCTAGAGGGCACCAGGTTATTTACCCATACTATAAAGGGTCTGTTAATTGAAATGGTATTGATACTACCAGCTGTATAAGGCCAAGGGAAAAGAGCAAGATTTCCAAAACCAAGGCATTATTCTGCAGAAGACCTCTCTAGGAGATAAGATGCATACCAGCCTGGATGGTGGTATTATAGGTCTAGAGTTCTTCAGAGAGAAGAATTCCTGGCATGGAAGCACCTAAAATCTCATCTAGATATTAATTATACTTGATTAGGAAAACATATTGTTTCTAGTTTTGCTATTTAAGAACTATAAAAACTGTTTCTCATCTAATGTC